ATTTGAGTTGTATTGTCAAATCTTCAACCTAAACTAGAGTGAGCATGAAGGATTGTTTAAGTGGGGACAAAATTTTGAAGGGGCCAATTTATTAGAGCACTTTTTTTAGTTATGGTAACTTTTGCTTCCTTAGGTGGCTTTGAACTGAAGACACTTAGATAACTAATGAGAACACCTTGTGTACAATATGTTAAAATAAATTTGGAATTTTTTTTAACACATATGTCATATGTTTCCACCACAGAACTCCCCAAGTTTAACATTCTCCAGAATATTAGGATTTCAGGAATTCTGGTTTAGTTAAGGTAGCTAAGGAGAGTAATTTAAAGGACAGAAATAAATAACATAAGCATATTTTATAGCATTTTATTAATACTTTTAGAAAACTGATTTATACCACTAGTTAGGTCTCTAGATCAACTTGTAAGATGTCTTATCTTTGAATTACAGACAGAGAAGTTGCAGTACAAGAAGTGAGGATGATTATGAATGTGAGTGACAGATCTATTATCCTCTCTCAGACCCACTCTCTGAAAGAGAGGCAATTTAAATCTGTTGGATGTGCATTCTAAGTTACTATCTGCCCATTCACATAATGAAGACATTTAAAGTCTCAAAGAATTATAATTCCTACCAAGGGGAATGACAGAACCATTTCATACCTGGAGCATTGGAATCGCCTGGTTTAACAGGTGGAAGGAATTCATGAAAAGTGGCGACTTATCCATCCACTCTTGAGATCTTTCTCTTAATTCCGCCAGCTGCCTCAGAGTTACATTAGACTTAAAGACAAAGAAACAAAAGAGATCTGGTCCATTAGTATTTTGCCTATATCCCTAAAAGGTATCTTAAGATTGTTTTGTTCCATAACTTCAAAAAACAGTTCCAAAAGGTGGAGCTAGTAAAAAAATATTGGCAGAAATTTCCCACATGGTTGAAAGTTTTAAATGATAGCTTTTATAGGGTCAAGATCATTTTAAAACATTCTGTAAAATTTAGAGTTTGTTTTATATCCACAAGTGACTTTATAGCCAAAATGTAAGCATGACTTCTGGAGATCTCATAAGTTTTTCATTTTTACCAATGATACACTTAACTTTCTACTAAAGAAACATCCTAGTTCAAGGATATAAGGAGGATATTCTCATATATTTCTGGTGGGAATAAATATGTTGTAGCCTTTTTTGAGAAGCAACCTGACAATGGCTATTAAAATAAAACACAATACCCTTCAGTCCCTCAATCCTGAACATTCATCTGACATAAAAATACCACTATGTAAAACCATATGCACAAGAGTGTTTGCTGTCACATTGTTTACAGTAGCCAAAAAACAAAAACAAACCCTGGAAACAAAAATGAATGTCCATCAACTGAGGATTGGATTACTAAATTTCATG